TTGTCAGTGAAATTGATAGAATTCAAGCCAAGAACTGTGGCCTCAGTAAGTACGAAGGGTTGCACGAGTCCACCAGCACACATGGGAGCAACCTTGTGGGTGGAGTGCTGAAATCTGCTCATAAACTAGAATGAGAGCGTCGTGTGAGAGCCACGCTTAACAATTTACCGAGTTCACTTGACTCGTCTGAAGCAAAGGTAACTATTCTAAGAATTGGGGAGCTGTGCGGAGGTGGCAGAGAGAAAAGGAGATGATGGGCTTAGTGTGTGAACCTACAGAGGTGAGATGAGTGTAGTTTTATTTCATTTATTGAATCTTGTTTTTCCTTATCTTTTGAAACCTGAAATTGTTAATTACAAAGAATAGTAATGTCACATGGTTTCTAATGCAACTGTGACGCAACCAGAGATCCCACTTGAGATCTGTCCTGCGTTTCAACACTAACCCTCAGTCCTGTGAGCACTAACTGTGCATTTGTGGTCTCCTTTAGATAAAGACGATGCTGCCTGGTGAACACCAACAAGTTCTGAGTAATCTGCAGTCTCGTTTTGAAGACTTTCTGGAAGATAGCCAGGAATCCCAAATATTTTCGGGCTCCGATATAACACAACTGGAAAAGGAGGTTAATGTGTGCAAGCAGTACTATCAAGAACTTCTGAAGTCTGCAGAAAGAGGTAAAGAAATTGGAGTTCAGTGTTTTTCCCCAGAGGTGTTTAGTCCAGACTGTTTTCTGAGCTCAGAGGGATCTCAGTCCTAAGAGTGTTTTGTCACTCAGCCCACGATAGGCAGACACAACTGCTGAAACACTAAAAAAGTGTGAGAGACTGGAGCTGTAGCTCTGTGTAGATAGCATGCCTGAACCCCGGTACCAAAAAGAAACCTAAGACGGTCAGGAGGGGAATCATTTACTTCTAAATGATGAGCTAACAGAAGGACGCCCACCAAATAGCATGACAGCTGACTCATCCTTACTGCGCCTGCTCTTCAGCACTTCCACCATTTTTCAATGTTCATAGTGGTGATTCTTCAGCTTCAGAGAGATTTGGTTATTTTCCTGTGTGTAGTTTCACACAGGGGTTAGAGCAAAAGGCTTTGTTTCATTAACTTTTATTAAACATACCGTTTTTTGTTATTTTGGGGGCAGTGTCTTGCTGTGTAGCCCAGGCTGGCCTTGAACTCACAATCCTCCTGTCTCTGCCTCCTGAGTGCTGGGATTACAGGTATGTGCCACTGCATCTGGCTTATTAAGTATAGCTTTTATTCTGAATGCTTTTTGATATTACTTAGAGACAGTTTTACTAGTGATATTCTATGTTAAGATCTTAAGCAGTAACACTTTCTTTACCTGCCTTTTACTTTTAAGGGTTTTTAATCTAATTTTTGTAATTGAGCTACACCTTATGTAATTCACGTTTTTGTGAACATAAAGCGGAAGAATCTGTTAATTTCCTTGGACATCGTAAGTCAGAAACTGATACTTCAGATGGCGTTAGAGAAGTTTTACTAACACTTCATAAAATTTGAAACATGTTTTTAGATTTCATCTCTTGTGATGATAAAGGGACCCACTGGTTTGACTAACTATGACCCAGTCAGAAAACTGTGTGAAAACATGACATCCAAAGGTTGAAGTCATGGTGTTTTCTAAGCAGTGTGTTTATTTTCACAGAGGAGCAGGAGGAGTCGGTCTATAATCTCTGCATCTCTGAAGTTCGAAACATTAGGCTTCGGTTAGAGAACTGTGAAGATCGGCTGATCAGACAGATCCGAACTCCCCTGGAGAGAGACGATTTGCACGAAAGTGCGTTCAGAATCACAGAGCAGGAGGTGAGAGTTGTAAATGCCTTGCGGAAAAAGGGGGAATTAACTCTCTCTGTGTCAGGCTCAGCCTTGCATGCTGGTTCCTCTGTGAGTCTGATTCTGTAATTCAGTTCTGCCCCTGACTGGGGTAAACACAGAAACGTGTACCTTCACTCATCCTGAGAGGCTCCTCATTGCGTACCTGCTGTATGCACAGGAACTAAGGTGTTTGGGTCTGCAGAGATGGGCAATAGGAGAAGTTTTGATTATAAAGCCGGAATGCCCTGTCTTTAGTTCTTTGGTAGAGAAAGTAGATTTTTTAACTGAAAGATTATAGTGTGAAGTGTGTTTTTAAACTGTTTATAAGAAAATACCCTATTGGGGTGTTTGTCCTCTGTTGTACAGAAACTAAAGAAAGAGCTGGAGCGACTTAAAGATGACTTGGGAGCCATCACAAATAAGTGTGAAGAGTTCTTCAGTCAGGCAGCTGCCTCCCCGTCTGTTCCCACCCTGCGGTCTGAGCTCAGCGTGGTCCTTCAGAGCATGAGTCACGCCTACTCCATGTCTTCTACCTACATAGAGAAGTATGTGGCTTCTGGTTGCCATGTACCCTCCTTCATCCACCTGTCCCTCGTGCCTGCTGTTAGGAATTTGTTTTTGTGAACACGAGTGGTCCGTTCTGTTCTGTCTGAAGGAATGCATTAATCATTTCTATGGGTTTATGATGCTTCTTCGTGTTGAGGGGGAGTGTGCTTTAGAGATTGTGTGTAAGGTGTTATCTCCCCACATTTCTGTTTTGGTAGCTCAGTCTGCAGGGCTTTCCTCTCATGTTTGGCCTAAAGAAGGTTGGAAACTATCTTGTGTTGTCATCTCTTTGTAAACATCACCCCACAGGTTAAGAGAGTCTGCTGACTGCCCGTCTTAGAGAAATTGTGTTGGTATTCCCAGATGAAGAATGTGCTGCCAGGTGTCACAATGATGCTTCAGGATTGCATTATGCAAAAATAGATATGTAACAGTAAGGGCTATTATTTAATTCTCTTTTAAAGGTTGAAAACAGTTAATTTGATATTAAAAAATACTCAAGCTGCAGAAGCACTTGTAAAGCTTTATGAAACCAAACTGTGTGAAGAAGAAGCGGTCATCGCTGATAAGAATAACATTGAGAATCTGATGAGTACTTTAAAGGTAAGGGAATCGCTTTTTTAAGACCATCCTCTGCAAGTATTTCACCAGCACTGAGCTCAGATCTTCAGATACTGAGCGTCAGTGTCTTACTTGGAACGCACTTTTGAAGGAATGGGTTCCATTTCACATATCTAACTCCATACTCACACAAATAAGCATAGTCAGTCATGTTAGTTTGAGGATGGTTCTTCTCATTGGAAGTTTGAGTCTTTGTGAAAATAGTTTTTCATTCTTAATTTATGTTGGCAAAAAAGACAAGTTGAAGCTAAAAATTAAATTACTTGTAACAGATTCTCTTGTTAAAAGAGGCAGTTATTTTAAGGGGGCAAATGGAGTTAATCTAAAAAAGGAGAAAGATGTGATTGTACTTATCTGTCTGTCTGTATTTCTATATGTAAAGCTCTTAGCAAAACTATGGCAAAACATTGAAATTATCTCAGTGATTTTTAATACACGTATATATTTTTTAAACATGGATTAGAGGCATTTTAAAAACAACCAGTGAAAAGACTTATTTTACTTATTGAGGTGACAACCTTGCTTATGGAATGTATTTTATTGATATGTAAATTATGTAAGACTGAACTTTATAACTTATTATTTTTTTTTAGGATCAAAGTACAGCCAAATATTGGCTATTTAAAATGAAGTTAATCTTGATATAATATTTTGTATATGGTAATCTTTCCTTTGTCTGATTTTTTATCTGCCATTTTTAAATAAATGGAAACATGAGGAGAACAATATGTTTACCCCATGACTGGTTGATACATTTTTATCACTCACTGATTCATGTATTTTAGCAATGGCGATCTGAAGTAGATGAAAAGAGAGAGGTATTCCACGCACTGGAGGATGAGCTGCAGAAAGCCAAAACCATCAGCGATGAGATGTTTAAGACATACAAGGAGCGGGACCTTGATTTCGACTGGTACAAAGAAAAGGCAGACCAGTTAGTGGAAAGGTGGCACAACCTCCATGTGCAAATCGACAGCAGGCTAGTATCCTTTCTGTTCAGTTTAAGTTCAGATTCAGTGTCTACTTGTATGCTGAATGAAAGCTAAAGTTACCAGGCTTTCTAAAAAAATCCATAGTTAATTTTATTAATTGCAAGAATTGTACCTACCTGCATTTCTTTCTCAAATGATAGACTTTAGCAAGACATTTAACTTCAAAATAAGCATTTTTCCAGTATTTCTGTATAATTAAAACTATTGATGGCATTTGTCTCATTAATGTACTTGCCTTTTCTTACTTGTTTTTGGTGCTAGTGATTGAAGCCAGGACCTTGTACATGGTAGGCAAACTATACCACTGAACTACATCTCCGGCCCTTGTTTTTTTTGAGACAGGTTTTCTCTATGTAGCCCAGGTTGGCCTTGAACTTGCTATGTAGTCCAGGCTGCCTCTGGCCTCTGCCTCCCTAGTGCTGGGATTGTAAGATTGTGCCACCACACCTGGCTTACTCACCTTTTTGAAGAAAAATAAAGTTCTCTAATTATTGCTGACTTATTCACATAATTGTGACTTAGTAAGAATATGAATCATACATTTAATTCATAGGGCTCTGTGTAGCAATCTCTGTCAGACTAAGAAATATAAAGAAATTGAAATGATGTGATTTTCATTTTAATTGATGAGTTAGGGAAGTTGAAGTCATTTTACAGTGACCGAGTCAAAAACAATAACAGTAGTAGATATGAATGAGCCTTTTCTCATTCATTTTTATTATGTTTATATTAGTGTAAATTAAATGCTTTGGTGATACATTTCCATTCTTGAGAAGTAAAATTGTATCCAGATAGACGTTGTCTTACCTCTGTAAAATACATGATAAATAGGTTTAATGTGCTGGCTTGAAAATCATGGAAACAGGTGTTTAATCTCAGCTCCTCAGAGAGTTCTAAGGCCACATTGAACTGTTCATTGAACTGCCTTCTCATTTCAGAAATGACCAACCATTAGGTGTCTGGCTGTTCCAAACAATTCTGATTGATACATTTCTTTTTAGTGTTAGTATCTCAGGCTAAACCCTAGAGTAATCTGTGTCACTAAATTGTACAACTACAACCCATGGTTGGTGTCGGTGCTCTTGGAGGTGTGCCTTAGGGCGCCACTATCTCCATTTCTATTTTCTGTCTCCCTTCACACTGCTGGAAACCGTGACTGTTTCTGTTCTCTTAGGTTGCGGGACCTGGAGGGCATTGGGAAATCACTGAAGTGTTACAGAGACGCCTATCAGCCTCTAGATGATTGGATCCAGCAGGTTGAAAGCACTCAGAGGAAGATTCAGGAACATCAGCCTGAAAACAGTAAAATGCTTGCTACGCAGTTGAATCAACAGAAGGTATGTTTTTAAAAAATCCTTGCACTGAGGTTATATCTCTATTTGGTTAGTCATGAGACCCATCTTTCTTGCCTGTGTTAAAAGGAAAGGCAACTATTTTAGAGAAAGGTAGAGAGTTTAATATTGATGTAAATCCTACAGCCCAAACGTATGCACATCACTTATTTTTATTTTTTGGAGATAATTTTATAAAGCATCAGTAATAAGAAAGTAGCATACTGGAGAGTTTCAAAACTGCTAAAGATTAATCATAGCTGTTGTCTAATCTCTTTGATAATTTGCTGGTCACAATAGTTCTGTGGGATTCTAAATAAATAAAAGTGCCTACTGGTAGAAATTAAACAGTCACATTTGACAGAAAGTCTAATACTTTGAGATTTTTGTTGCATCTTTAGGAGCCAGTAATTTCTGTTTCATCAGGAATAGAGGTAGCAAGGGCATCAGGTCTGCCTTTTGATCATTCCTTTGGAGTTCAGGAATTTCTGCTTTGGAAACCTCCTGAGCGGGAGGGTCACTTGTGAGTCTTACCCTGAAAGTTTGTAATTTACCTGTAAGACAAGTTGCGTATTGAATATAAAGTGTTAAGGAGCTATACTATTAAATGACAAGGATATTTCTTAGTGCCCGAGCATCTTAGATGTAGAACAAGATGCCTTGTCGTGTGTCTTCTAAGTCGTGTGTGTTTGTAGATGCTGGTGTCTGAAATAGAAATGAAGCAGAGCAAAATGGATGAGTGTCAAAAATATGCAGAACATTACTCAGCTACAGTAAAGGTAAGATTCAGTTACTGTAGTCAAATGTAGTAACCAGGTTCACAATGCCATGATGTACTTTTAAAGCCAAGAAAGGCATTTCACTCTATGTTGAAAAGTAGAAGGTGAGACTCCTCATTTAGATGTTTTCACACTTTTTTACCTAATAATTCTTTCTTAAATCTTGAGTCAGGTAACAGTTCCTTTTATTTTTTAGTGTTTCTCTCTCTCTCTCTCTCTCTCTCTCTCTCTCTCTCTCACACACACACACACACACACACACACACACACACACGCACACACACAGAAAGAGAGAGAGACAAATGCACAGCTCTGAAACTGGTTTCTTGCCACTGTCCTATCTTGTTCTCATTTCTCTTTGACATTGACAGAACTTCTCACTTTCTGGCTTGGGGAACACGTCTCGTCTTTTCAGGTTATGATAGACAATTTCTCAGCTTTCCTGATCCACAGTTCCATTGTTCAGCTAGAGGACAAGGAGGCTGAACATGACTACAGCATTCCACGAGCGTCCAAAGAGGCGTGGGAACTCCCTGGCCGCTCTACATCTTTCTGCTTTCATCACCACCTTGGTGTGGTGGTGGTAGTTTCATATTTTTTGTATTTAAAATTAATTCAGTGAAACTAGGTTTCAGTTCTCTGGGTTTAATCCGGCTTTGCTTCAGATAACTTTATTATATTTCCTTTTTTATACAGGACTACGAATTACAAACAATGACCTACCGGGCCATGGTGGATTCACAACAAAAATCTCCTGTTAAACGCAGAAGAATGCAGAGCTCGGCAGATCTCATTATTCAAGAGGTAATAAAAGGAGGAGAGAAGGGGCATAGAACATTGCTAAGAACAATTCTACTTTCATTATGGTAAAACATACCTGATATAAAATTTACCATTTTCATTATTTTAAAATGTGTGATTTAGTGGCGTTTTCGTACCTCACAATATCGTATGTCCGTCAACACCAATCATTTCCAGCACTGTTTATTACCTCAAACCGAATATCTAAACCTAAAGCAATACATTTTACTAAGGGCTTTTAAAAAACCCTTTTAAAGTCAAGATCAATTCAAGACTAGTTAGTAACTGCAGAGAAAATAAACGCACTTCACGATTAACCTTGGTGCCACGTCACGTAGTTTGTTGAACACAGCAAGTTCATTGCTACCCCGTTATCATTTATGATTGGGCGTGGGGTGCTTTATTTTCCTGCTAATATTGTTAGAATTACTACTCAAGTTTCACTGAATTGGAGATTTTGTTTTTATTACTTTCTCTTTGTAGTTCATGGACCTCCGGACACGGTACACTGCTCTGGTCACATTGATGACACAGTATATTAAATTTGCTGGCGATTCACTGAAAAGGCTGGAAGAGGAGGAGGTAACCACTAACAACCAAGAGCTAATTGAACAGGAAGTAGATTTGAATGTCAACCCACACATGGTTTGGAAAGGCAAACTATGTTTTCTGTGATAACTTTTTACATGGCTGATAGTTTATGAAAGTAATTAATAATGAAAAAAAAGAGTAAGGCCTAACTAAGATTTTGTTTGTTTTGAAGATTCCCTCAAATAGAAAAGCTTTTTTTGATAGTATTGGAAGCTGAACTTAGGGCCGTGTGCTTGCTAGGCAGGCACCCTACCAATTGAGTCACTCCGCCAACCATTTTTGCACTGGTTATTTTTGAGATAGGATCTGGCTTTATGCCTGGACAGCAGTCCTCCTGTCTGTGCTTCCTGTGCAGCTAGGATGACAGGCACACTCTGCCATGCCCAGTCACTGAGAATGGAGGATCTCACGAACTTTATTTCCCAGTCTGGGCTGGAACCGTGATCCATCCTGGTGGCTAGGATTCCAGGCGTGAGCCACCAGCACCCAGCTAGAAAAGCATTTTAAAATTTTCCCTTCAGCTGAGCTGGGGATGTAGCTCAGTAGCGGACCATTTGTTTATCATGCACATGGCTTCAGTTCTCAGCACTACAAAAAAAAAAAATCACTTTGGAACCATAACATAATAGGTTGAATGTCCTAAATGGTTTTCCTTAAGTAAGGAAATGTGGGCATTTTAGAAGAATTTTATTCATTTCTCACAACTGAGCTTATTTCTATGAAGTATAGTTACTGCCCATACGGCAACTTCAGCCACACTAAATGAACACATTTGTTTTATGTGCTTTAAATTAACTTGAGTCTTCAAGGGATTGAAATTATCATAATTTAAATATGCTAAAAAGATCAATTTTGTATTAGGTGTTTATAGAAAAGAATGTTACTTTTAAGAATTATGGAGTTTTGCACTTTGTGTTTTTGCAAAAATAATGGCCATGACGTAAGTACCATTCTGACTTGGAGGAGTTCAGTGCTTTGATTCTGCCTGTATAAATTGTATTCAGATATCAAAAGAGTAAGGACTTACTTATAAGAATAAATTGTCATGAGAGGCTTGTTTTTCTAATCTTGAAGGGATTCTTCTGTGCTATGTTATCTTGATATGCTTTCTCTTCCTAACTACAGAACAGACAAAGATAGTAGACTGAATGCTTAAAAAAAAAATAGTAAGTTGTGAAATATGGGGCCGAGCCCTCTTAATTGGACTGTTGAAATTTTGCAGGTGACTATAGATGATGGGGATGCTGCTGCTCATAAAGTGAAAGAACCAAAACAGCAGTTGACGCCTGCTGGATGTGACTTTCTTAGCTTTGGGAAATGTGACCACTCTTACGAACTATTTTAGTCTGTTCAGAATTCACAGTTACCTGCAATTAAACCACTAACATAGTTATTTCCAAGACTTTATAACCAACTCTCTTTATGCTTTGGAAGGAGAACCAGAATGTTTCTGACTGTCTTAACAACTGCATGCACCTCTTATAAATGGAAAAACATCACATTTTTACTAGTTTTCAAGAGACTTTTTCCACTTCAAATGGTCTGCATATCTTTTAAATTATATATGCCATTCTCTGAAATGTCAAAAATTTATAGCGATTTATAAAAACAATATAGTTAGGGAATACATGTAAAGACAGTAATTTCAAATGGATTTTAAAACCTGTCCATGTAAGGGCCATATTAGTTTTATATCCTGTAAAAGATATAAGCTCAATTTATAGACTCAAAGGAATGGTGTTTCTGAAACTGAGTCTTCAGAATCCACATGAAAAACCTTAATCTAAGAGCAGAGTGCTTCCTAATAAACATAAGAGGAAAGACAGATGGCAGATCATTTCAGAAGTATCAGATGTGATAAGGAGACTCTTTAGCCTTCATTGAGAGCAAACTATTTAAAAGTGAATCCCACTGGAGGAATCTTGAGGAAGTTATCTTTATGTGAAGAAGTTTGAGATCTATACGATAACAAGTCAGTAACTGGTCTAAATTATTTCAAGTAGGCTTTTTTTGGCATTTGCTAAAATAATCCAGAGTTATCCAGACAACATGAAATTGTTAACAAATCACAAAAATGACTCTTACCAGATCAGAGGGATCAGCAACGGATTTTTTTTTTTTTAAGGAAAAAAACATAGCTAAGGAAAAAAAAAGACTCAAAACTTCTTGGCAATAGCTAAGAAGTATGATTTAAAGGAGATTTGAAAAGGAACCTGGCAAAGACCCTCTTAGAAATGAGAAGAAAGATTAAAATCTCAATATTATAAATAGACAAATACTTTAGTGTCCCTAACAGTTCCTGATCCCAAAATAAAGAGAGTAGAGCATTGCACACAGCAGACTGATGAGCGCTGCTTCTACATGAATTCATATTAAAAACATATTTAGGTAGCAAAGGAAACAACTGAAATTCTCATCAACATTATTAGAGATAAAAAAAATTGAGGAAGTAAAATGAGATAGTCTGTGATAAATTCTTGAGATTCACCGAAGTATCTCGATAAAAACAAACCTATCTAAAATAATTTCTAAACTCCTGTTTGCATTGTTTCTGACTATGGTTACTTTGTGTCGATGTACAAAGCTAACAACACTGAGATGTTACCGAGACCTTAACTGGAATTATAGGCTAACCCTGATCGTGTGGTCCTACAGTCAGTGAGGCCTCCTCCCAGCTGAAATTGAATCATTGGTAGAATAAAAAGCTTTTCTTCTATTTTATTCAGTAATTTGCACTGAATCCCCGAGCATTTTAAAAGTGCTCATGTTTAACAACTGTCCTTGTGTTTATGGGGGTGTCTCGAGGCACTTGTCAAGGTGGACGGACACGTGAGGCAAATCGCTCACTACGAAGGCAGTGAGTATTCGAGGAGCCTCTTTGGGGCCATTACCGGGGCGGGAGCTGCCTTTGCATTAGCGATTCTCATTTTTTACAGTTCCCAGAATGTGGCAAGTATAAACTATAAGGGATTTGCCTTTAGACATTTCAAGTTTCTGTATCGTTTTCTTTCTTCCCTTGTTCAGTGGTGTTTCTTAATTCGCCTCTGTTCTGCATCTTGTTTCTTTCACCACAAAATGTGGGAAGTGTAAATACTACTTTAAACTTCCATTGCACTAGCTACTGAAAACTAAATTCTTTCATGTTGTTTGGTTCTTGTAAATGTGCGTTATCCTTAGCACGGAGGACCAAGGTAAAGCAAGAGCAGAAAGACCATCGCTATGGGAATTTTAGCTCCCGCTTGGTCACTCATCCATTGTATGAGTTTGCAAAGTTATTTTACCTCCGGTACCTCAAGTCTCATCTGTAAAACTTTGGGACCATTGCTACCTGTTCTGCAAGGTGCTTCCTTGCTGTCAAATCCTGAGCCAGCTGAATTTTAAAGTGAAATTATTCCTGAGGGATAGGAAAGATTCTGCAGAAAACCCATCCTGGTTTTCTGGCTCCTGCTGTCTTTCTGAAGCTTTCTCTACAAAGAAGGTGGTGCTGGTGGTGGTGGTGGCGGTGGTGGTGACGGCTTGTTCTGCACTGGATTCCCTTGCTTTTGTACGTCCTCTTAGGAACACTGCTTCAGGAGCTGTAAACACATTTGAATAGAGCAGGTTTGACAGTTTCGAACCGTCTCTTGTAGATGAAAAGGTGTAAGGAGTCCTCCGAACAGGGGGCCTATTGCAGTCTGCTTCAGCGCCAGAAGGCAACCATGATTGAGAACAGCAAACTTACAGGGAAGATAAGTGAACTGGAAGGCATGGTGGCGGAACTAAAGAAACAGAAGTCTCGGGTGGAGGAAGAACTTCCCAAGGTCAAGGAGGCTGCCGAGAATGAACTGAGAAAGCAGCAGAGAAGCGCGGAAGACATCGCCCTGCAGAAGCTGAGGGCCGAGAGCGAGGCGAAGCAGTACCGCCGGGAGCTGGAGGCCATCGGGAGAGAGAAGGAGGCCGCCGAGCGGGAGCTGGACAGGTTGAGGCAGCTCACCTCGGAGGCCGAGGCCAGGCGAGCGGCCGTGGAGGGGAACCTCCTGAGCTTCCGCAGGCAGCTGGAGGAGAACACCTGCACCAGAAGGACTCTGGAAGATCATCTGAAGAGGAAAGAGTCGAGTCTCAGCGACCTGGAGCAACAGAAAAACAAGTTAATGGAAGAATTAAGAAGAAAGAGGGACAATGAGGAGGAACTGCTGAGGCTGGTGAAGCAGATGGAGAAAGACCTTGTGTTTCAAAAACAGGAGGCAGAGAAACAGCTGAAGGAAAAGCAGAGAGTTGAACTGGAAGCCAGAAGAAAAATCACCGAAATTCAGTATTCTTGCAGAGAGAACGCACCGCCACCTGGCACGATCGCACAGGCCCCGTCATGCAGGCCACGTCGGGCCTGCAGAGAGAGCGCGACAGGCAGAAAGAGGAGCTCAAGCAGCAGGTGGACAAACTCACTGTGGCCAACAGAAAGGCCGAGAACGACATGCGACAGCTGAAGTGCGAGCTGCACGCCCTCCAGCTGGAAAAGACCTCGTCCGAGGAAAAGGCCCACCTGCTGAAAGAGAAACTGGACGAAACAAACAGTGCCTTGAGGCGCCTGGCGCTGGAGCTGGAAAGGAAGGACCAGGTGGAGGAAGGCTACGCCCAGCAGCTCCGGGAACTCAGTAGGCAGCTGAACCAGACCACTGGGAAAGCAGAGGAGGTCATGCAGGAGGCCAACGACCTCAAGAAGGTCAAGCACGCTTACCAGCTAGAATTAGAGTCTCTCCATCACGAAAAGGGGAAGCTGCAAAGGGAAGTGGACAGGATGACCAGAGCCCACGCCATAGCCGAGAGGGACATTCAGCGTTTAAACTCCCAAGTTCGCTCTTCCCAGGATGAGAACGAATTCTCCAGTGAAAGAGGACGACTCTGCCAGGTGAAATCAGATCGTCTCAAAGAGCAGTTCGAGAAAAGCCACGAGCGGTTGCTTCAAAATATTAAAGCGGAGAAAGAAAATAACGATAAAATCCAAAAGCTCCAAGAAGAATTGGGGAAAAGCAGTGAGTGCGCAGAGATGCTGAAGCAAAAGGTCGATGCGCTCACGAGGCAGAACACCGAGACCAGATTAATGATGCAGAGAATTCAGGCAGAATCCCAGAACGTCGTTTTAGAGAAGCAAGCCATCCAGCGAAGATGCGAGGCGCTGAAAATGCAGGCAGATGGTTTTAAGGATCAGTTACGCAACACGAACGAACACCTGCACAAACAGACAAGAACCGAGCAGGACTTCCATAGAAAAATTAAAAGCCTCGAGGAAGATCTGGCCAAAAGTCAACATTTAGTCAGCGAATTCAAGCAGAAGTGTGACCGGCAAAACGAGATAATCCAGAACACGGAGAAAGAGGTCCGAAGTCTGAATGCTGAGCTGAACGCTTCCAAAGAGGAGAACCGACGCGGGGAGCAAAAGGCCCAGCTCCAGCAAGCCCAGGTGCAGGAGTTAAGTGACAGGCTGAAGCAGGTACAAGATGAGCTGCACTTGAAGACCATAGAAGAGCAGGTGACCCACAGAAAGATGGTTCTGTTTCAGGAAGAGTCTGACGAATTCAAGCGCTCAGCAGAGGAGTTTCGGAAAAAGATGGAGAAGTTAATGGAGTCCAAGGTCATCACTGAAAATGATATTTCAGGCATTAAGCTTGACTTTGTGTCTCTTCAGCAAGAAAACCTCAGAGCTCAAGAGAACGCTAGGCTTTGTGAGACAAACATTAAGGAAGTAGAGAGACAGCTTCAACGATACCGAGAGCAAGTGCAGCACGGGCAGCATGTGGAAGCAAACCACTACCAGAAATGCCGGAAGCTTGAGGATGAGCTGATGGCCCAGAAACGGGACGTTGAAAACCTGAAGCAGAAAATGGATCAACAGATAAAGGAGCACGAACATCAACTAGTTTTGCTGCAGTGTGAAATCCAAAAGAAGAGCACAGCCAAAGATTGCACCTTTATACCAGATTTTGAGACGATAGTGAAGGAGTGTCAGCACCCTGGAGAGCTCCCTTCGAGGAACACCGGGTACCTTCCCCCCACAACCAGGTCTCTGTTGAGGTGGACTCAGGAGCCACAACAGGTGGAGGAGAAATGGCAGATACCAAAAGAAGGCCAAATCCAACCTTCTGGGGCTCCCCTTGAGAACGAGAAAAGTCAGCGGTGTTACTCTGAGTATTTTTCCCAAATCAGCACTGAATTACAGATAACTTTTGATGAGACCAGTCCTATTACAAGGCTGTCAGACATAGAAAAGATAAGAGACCAAGCCCTGCATGGCTCCAGGCCACCTATCAGGTATCAAGATGACAAGCATGAAATGGAATTGGTGAAGCTTTTGACACCCTTAGAGGTATACTCTGTGTTCTGAGACCTTTCTTCTTTTATTTCTTTTCTCCCCTACACTGTATTTTTATTACTTTGTTGTGTTAGGCTCTCTGTGGTTCTGAGAGTAAAATAATCTGATAATTTTATAGTGATATACCTGAATTTTCATTATAAATGATCATTCTTTAATTTGTGAATGTTTGAGAGTAAATACACAGATTTAATGGGTAAACTGTTATATCTGTGGGGATATATTTTTTAAATGTGACTATTTAACAAAAAAACAAAAAACTAAAAGAACCAACCAAGCAGTAAACTTTAACTTCTAACCTATTTTGTGGCCAAATTTCACCTAAATCTTTTTTCCATCATACCATTTTAATATCCTGTCATCTAAAGTAAATAAACTTCACACTGTCAAAATACTACTACTTATTCCCAACCCCCCCCAGCACACACACACCTTGGTTTGAAATTTTTCTTCTCTTCTCTTTGTCATTCAAGGGATTGTGTTTGTATTGAGAATGTTCAGAAAAGGAACATGCTGTGCCTTAGGTGACTTTTTAACATCTTAAACATTCCTGTTCCAGATAGCTAAGAACAAGCAGTATGACATGCATACAGAAGTCACAACATTAAGACAAGAAAAGAGCCCCGTTGGCAGTGGTGACGAATGGATGTTGGAAGGGTGCAGAGCATCTGGTGGACTCAAGAGGGGAGATTGCCTTACGAAAGGCTTAGAAACAGAGACTTTGCAGAACTCTGGCAGCGATCATGCGTGCTCTGTGAGGGATGATGAGTTTAAATTCCAAGGGCTCAGGCACACGGTAACAGCTCGGCAGTTGGTGGAAGCTAAGCTTCTGGACATGAAGACTGTTGAGCAGCTGCGATGTGGTCTGAAGACTGTAGAAGAAGTTCAGAAAACTCTCGGCAAGTTCTTGACCAAGGCCTCATCCATTGCAGGGCTTTATCTAGAATCCACAAAAGAGAAGATTTCATTTGCTTCAGCAGCCAAGAAAATCATAATAGACAAAATGATGGCTGTAGCCTTTTTAGAAGCTCAGGCTGCAACAGGTTTTATAATCGATCCCATTTCAGGTCAGACATACTCTGTGGAAGACGCCGTTCTTAAAGGGATCGTTGACCCTGAATTCAGAGTTAGGCTCCTTGAGGCAGAGAAGGCAGCCCTGGGCTATCCGTGTGCCTCTAAGACCCTGTCAGTGTTTCAAGCCATGGAAAATAGAATGTTGGACAGGCAGAAAGGTAAACACATCTTGGAGGCCCAGATTGCCAGTGGGGGCGTCATCGATCCTGTGAGAGGCATTCGTGTTCCCCCAGAGATCGCTGTGCAGCAGGGATTGCTAAATAACGCTATCTTACAATTTTTGCACGAGCCATCCAGCAACACCAGAGTCTTCCCCAATCCCAATAACAAGCAGGCTCTGTATTATGCAGAATTACTGCGAATGTGTGTCTTCGATGTAGATTGCCAGTGCTTTCTGTTGCCAGTGGGGGAAAGGGACATTTCCAATCTCAATGTAGAGAAAACTCATAAGATTTCCGTGGTAGACATTAAAACAGGAGCAGAACTGACTGCCTACGAAGCTTTCCAGAGAAATCTAATTGAGAAAAGTGTTTATCTTGAACTCTCAGGACAGCAGTATCAGTGGAAGGAAGCCACATTTTTTGAATCCTACGGGCGTCCTTCTTACATGCTGACAGATACTAAAACTGGCTTACTTTTCAATATTGATGAGGCCATAGAGCAGGGCACAATTGATAAGGCCTTGGTCACAAAGTATCAGGAAGGCCTCGTCTCCCTGACAGAGCTTGCTGACTCGCTGCTGAGCCGGTTAGCTCCCAAGAAGGATTTGCACAGTCCCATTGCTGGCTCTTGGCTGACCGCTAGTGGGGAAAGGATCTCCTTGTTAAAGGCTTCCCGTAGAAACCTGGTTGACCGGATTACTGCCCTTAGATGCCTTGAAGCCCAAGTCAGTACGGGGGGGATCATTGATCCCCTCACTGGGAAGAAGTACAGGGTGGCCGAGGCTTTGCACAGAGGCCTGGTTGATGAGGGCTTTGCCCAGCAGCTGCGGCAGTGTGAATTAGTCATCTCAGGAATCAGCCATCCCGGCACGAGCAAAACCATGTCGGTGGCGGAAGCTGTGAGTGCGAACATCATTAGCAAGGAGATGGGAATGCGGTGTCTGGAATTTCAGCACTTGACAGGGGGCTTGATAGAGCCACAGGCTCACTCCCGCCTGTCCATAGAAGAGGCTCTCCAAGTAGGTATCATAGATGTCCTCATAGCTACCAGACTCAAAGACCAAAAGTCCTATGTCAGAAATATAATATGTCCCCAGACCAAAAGAAAGTTGACTTACAAGGAGGCCTTAGAAAAAGCTGATTTTGATTTCCACACGGGACTTAAACTGTTAGAGGTGTCTGAGCCCTTGATGACAGGAATTTCTAGCCTTTACTATTCTTCCTAAAGGGACATGCTACCTAGCTTCATGCAGGGGACAGTGCTGGCTGGCTTGTGGCTTCTGCTTAGAGCCGATGGTGTTGACTAAACATGTAGACCAGGAATCGTGTCACCAGCTCCAAGCCCTGAAAATAACAAAAGATTTACAATGGTTCCATTTAGCTTTGAGAGTGGGTTTTTGAACCTTACCCACATGAAAACAAGCATGCTACCTAGAATATGGGATAAGCCTGAACTTCCACCACGTTCACAGCATCATGTCCTCTCATGGGATAGATCCACCCCCATTTAGTAAATGACACTTTGTGCTCCTGAAAGCGCTCTTCACGAAGCACCGTGGAATCAAAGAGAAAGAAGTGGATCTGTTCCCACACCCACAAGGCTTCAGCGTTGGAGACTGCTTCGGAAACAAAAAGTTTTGAGTTTTCCTGTGTGTGGTAACCGTCTTTGCAGTTTAAGATGTTTACCATAATCTCTCATTTTTTAGCTGAGACTTTGGAATTAAAAGCTAATGTTCTGATTGTACTGTGTGTTGGGGGGGTACTTCCTCATTCTGTGCATTTTTCATCTGTGTGCAGATACTCTGTTCTTTTCAGCTTTCCATTGTCTCCCGCTTCTCTGTCAGGTCAGGTCAAGCAGCATCATAAGCTAATGCAAAGGCAACTCTTCAAACACCTTTTGTGCCTCACGAATAAAGGTGTAGCATTTCCTTGTCAAATCAATGGGACAGCTGGGAGGTTAAGCCAGTGATTAAAGAACTTTTGTCACAGCTTTCTTTGCTACCGTACACATATGGAAGTTCCCCTGTCACATGGCAGGGTGAACGTGGTTAAGCAAGTGAATAAAATATCTCAGTAACCTTGGGTTCTTGTTTTCAGTGGGGATGTTAGTTCAGTAGCTCAGTCATTTACTGGAATGTATCTTTTTTTTAACCACTCACACCCGTCAGAAGTCACTGGAAGAAGAAAAGAAAGAGCATGTTGAAAAAGCCAAAGAATTGCAGAAATGGGTTTCCAATATCAGCAAGACATTGAGAGATGGGGAGAAGGCTGGAAAACCTCTCTTCTCTAAGCTGAAGGTATTCACAGAGGTCCTGGCATCACAATAACCTAACTGTGGGGAGAATTTCCAGAGTTGATACAGTCCACCTAAGCACTGAGTTTAATTCTTCACCTTAATTTCCCCCAGTTTTATAAACACTTACAATGAAGATCGGAGAGGTTAGGTAACCCAAGGAATCCCACTTAGTATGTGGTGGAAGAAGGCGTGTCTGATTCCAGTCTGAACTATATGTGCTATTGCTTCTCCTATGGTTAATCTGTCCCAGTTACTGTGAGAATTGCTGAAGAGCAGTCTTCCTGTTTTCAGGGCCACAGTAACCCATGCACTCCACGTCACAAAGATACTCGGTCTCTTTCTTACAGTGGTAAACAACACAAGTTTCTGAACAAGGAGGGTGAAAGCTAGCATGTTAACCCGGGAGTATTGACTTTAATTGCACTTTCCTGGATTGCTGTTCCAATTTCATAAGGAAGTGCCTATAGCCAGTCACTGGAAAGTAGGTTCTTTCCCTTACCTGAGTGAATTCCTTAGTCCTGTGGGCTCTCTAGCCTACTAGCACTAGTTATATGGCTGCAGCTGTAAGACCTGACACTCCATGATGTACCACTGGACACTCCCAGGACATTTCTACTGAGGTGTAAATTCTAGTAGTGCTGCTACTGATGGTAGGAATTGCCACTGTATTTAAAAATTAAATTTTTACCAAGATAAGCTGTTACTTGATGTTTGGAAATTTTAGAGGCTATTATTTAATCTCAATATTTAGTTTGTCTTCCAGTTCTGCCTCTATACTCACTTGCCATCCATTGACATGGACACTATAGATGTGATTTAACAGGGGAAAACCTCAATGTTGTATGTAATTTTGCCCACAGTATATGGCAAATATTCCTGATTTGGGGTTCCCTCTTGGAGAAGTTAGCTTATAGTTCTACAAGAAATGAGAAGTTGGGAAGCATTTACCCCTAAACCTTTAAAGTAATTTAATCCCAATACTTAATTTAAAATATCTTCTCTCCTCAAATAAGAAACCAACCAATAGGCATAGAAGCCTCAGCAAAGATCTCCTGGGAGAACACATTTCTTTTCAGAAACCTGGATCTTAAATCCAGAATGTCTACATTCTGTAGTTTCAAATTCTCCAAAACATTGTTAAGTCAGATTTAAATCTAGTCCTCATCAAAGTAGATGTAGATCGTAGCCTTACTTAAAACTCTCCAAGAACACTTTATCTCTGTTAAAAAAAAATCTCAGTAAATTCATGTACATACCGAGCGTGTCCGAGAAAATTCCATTTGGTCTCATGAGTGCCTGTGGGCACGCCGAGCAGTCAGCTAGACGGATGGAGGTAATAATATTCCCATTGACACATTTTTCTCCCATTTCTGCTCGTTTAAAAGAACAACTGGTTTCTAAAATTAGGTGTTCAGAAATGACAGTGTTACAACTGCGTGCTTTCCCCCGAGCTCATCAACTTTACTTCTCTGATTGCCACGGGTGACTTTTACAACAGAGTCTTAGCATTTCGTGTTGATATGCAGATACTGAGTAAGCCCTTTACCATAGTTTTTTCTGAAGGAGCGTTGTGCTTTGGAGCTTGGGGGAGGAAGATACGCTTTGGAGGTAGTGTTCCATATTCACATCTTTTTGAGTACTGTCAGGTACAAGAAAAACATTGGGCCATTGCTGGAACCTTTGGCCACCAGGGTGTTGAGGCCACTTTTCTTCAAGGTGGGGCATGGACAAACACAGATCCTAAATACTGCATTGTTGTTTCTTCATGAAAATGATGACATTAAGAAGAGAGAGATGCTCTCCTTGTGCATTATCTACACCTATGGACTGCTAAGGATAGACTTGTCATTTGAGTCTTGATTAAAACTTGACTTTTAGAAATGACTGTTGTCTTGTCCTTTTGAGGGGAGAGAGTTTGAATGTGCTTTCTGTACCTTACAGATTTCCAGTGAGGAAATATCAACTAAGAAGGAACAATTATCTGAAGCCCTTCAAACCTTGCAGCTTTTTTTGGCTAAACATGGAGACAAGTACGTTGGTCTTCATTAGCTCTTTTATTCCTGGGAGAACACATTTCTTTTCAGAAACCTGGATCTTAAGTCCTTAGTATGTCTACATTCTGTAGTTTCAAATTCTCCAAAACATTGCTAAGTATTGTTAAGTTTTCAAGGTAAGGACATCAGCTTAAAACATTCAGCAGAGCAAAAGATGGTAAATTTTCATTGAAATTTTACAAGTGGAATGCAAACTAATCACAATTTACTTAATGGAAAGAGTATAAACTTAGTAATTAATGTTCACTTCTGGTCTTCACCTGAACTCTGAAATGTACCTACTGTCCTCATATGTTACTGATAAGAAAACAGGCACAGAGGAGTTAGGGTTAGTAAGGACTGAGTGGCTGCTATGTTCTTTATTTTCTTCACTATGGTTTTTCATATTCTGGTCCTGATTTTTTTTTTTTTAACAACAAGTCACTTCACTTCATATATTTGAACATTCCTCAGACTGGGAAGGAATGCACCCTTGTCTTAAACCTTTTTCAGTCGTGCTCTTTGGGATTACTTCTTAGAGGATCAGGTTAATTTCCGTGTAAATTTCCTCAGTATTGATCCTTCAGTTTAAATAAGTTCCATTTTGAGATTGCTGCCCACTGTTCTTTTCCATTTGGGGACTGATGACAGTCATTGCCTCATCAGATTACAGCAGTGATTATTTTGGAAATTTGTAGAGGAGTAGATACATTAACTTGCATCCTTTTCTTCAGTTTCTTTCTCAGACAAGGGAAAATTCCTAGATGGTTTTAGGGCCATTTTTACTTTGATACACAGTCATTGCAGTTCCTGAGCAGTATGTATGTGGGGACTGTGTTTTAAGATCTGGTGACGTTGAACCTAACATACCATTTTTATACCTGAGACTGACATTACTCTTTTCATACTTTACGGTTGTCACAGAATGACAGAAGAAGAAAGAAATGAATTGGAAAAGCATGTGAAAACTCTTCAGGAAGGTTATAATTTATTCAGTGAATCTCTGAATCAATTGCAAGAATCACAGACCTCAGGAGATGTCAAGCTAGAGGAGAAGGTAATACCTGTCAAACACGAGGCTGTTCCAAGGAACCTAGTTTGATTGCATGGCTGTGAATATCTATGTCAATAATAAAGAAATCACCTTGGATTTTCTACATGGATAAAATATGGATGGAGTTTATTTAAAGTTTGAGATTTTAATGTTTATTAAATCCAGCCTTACACATGCTGACTGTCAGTTTCTACGACATCTTAATCTCTGCCTTGCATGGTGAAAGAAAAAAGTCATTCATTTTTCTAATTCCACTCTACAAAAGCCATTCTTCTCCTTTTATATTGAGTATTTTATAATGTCATGAAAGAGCCAGAGACTGGGTGTGGTGGTGCACATCTATAATCTAGTACTAGGGAGCCTGAGGCAGGAGGATTGCAAGTTCAAGGCCAGCGAGATCCTGTCTTTAAAAAAAAAAAAAAAAAAAAAAAAAGAAAAGAAAAAAAGCCTGTGGGTCATCTCCAAAGTGGCATTGACACACCGTGGAGTTGATTTTCAGAGTATCCATGAGAGTTACTTGAATGACTAACAATGGGATCTTCCCTTGTTGTTTGAGTGATATGAGGCCATATGGTAACGTGAAGATGCCTAAGCTCTTCTCAGAAGATAACAGAAATCACCAACAGTTGGGCTGTACCTTAAATATTTTAAACTCTGCAATGCCTGTCAATGTGTCCAACTGGATATTCAGTAGTCAAAAATTATATTTAATTCAATTTCATTATTCCTGGGAATACTTTCCACATAATTATAATTTGCCACATTTGGGGGTATGTAACAGTTTTTCTGGTTCCTTAGTCATCGCCTGTCCTTGAAGAAGTCTGTATGCTGTAAACATTGGTAGCATGGGGTTTGTCACTCTCTCATGTCACTAGACTCTAATCTCAGCCAAATGCAGAAAGCATGATTGCCTTCTAGGTGTGTGCTGTCTTTTCTCACTGTCGTCATCTCCTCTGTTGTGTCCTCACTAACCTGGTTAATGTACACGATGTGAAGTTTTCAATTCACAGATGCATGTTTTCAAAGCTTTTGTCACATGCTGAGCTGTTGATAGATCACTGACATAGATCACTTGTGCATTTGAGCTGCCTAACATTCACATCACTCCTGTGCCTTGGTAAGTAGAGGATTTTTATCATGCAGTGTATTATTAAAAAAAAAAACAAAAACAAACTAAGTTGCATGAACTCTGCCCACTCCAGGGTAACAGACTGATCTGAGCCATCTGCCTTTTCCTTTCAGCTGGATAAAGTGATTGCAGGCATCATTGATCAGACAACCGAGGAAGTCCTTTCGGTCTTTCAGGCAGTTTTAAAAGGCCTTATTGACTATGACACAGGAATTAGGTTGCTTGAGACACAGCTAATAATTTCTGGCTTAATTTCACCAGAATTGAGAAAGTGCTTTGACCTCAAAGATGCCAAAAGTCATGGTCTTATTGATGAACAAATTCTGTGCCAACTCAAAGAGCTACATCAAGCTAAGGAGATCATTTCTACTGTGTCATGTACAACAATTCCTGTTCTAGATGCTCTGGCTCAGGGCATGATATCAGAATCCATGGCTGTCAGGGTCCTTGAGATCCAGCTCTCCACAGGCTTTCTGATTGTTCCTGCCACGGGAGAGCAGTGGACCCTACAGAAGGCTTTTCAGCAGAACCTGGTCTCCTCTGCCTTGTTTTCTAAAGTCCTGGAAAGACAAAATCTGTGCAAAGACCTTATTGACCCTTGCACATCTGAGAAGGTGTCTTTAACCGATATGGTACAAA